TAATCATGCATGTGTCACTAATACTAATGTGAAACAGCTGGATGAGTCTTTCAGTCAAGGAAACAAACCAGTCAAAGCACAAGAAGAGCTGAACTATTTAGCCAAGTGAAGGAGCCTTTCAGTTTGAAAGTAGTTTGTAAAACCCGAAGTAGCTCAAAGTGTCCTACCTGACATGGATTATCTGGTCACCCTATCTGTTACTGAACGTGGTCTGCCGCTCTGTGGCCGAGATTCTCTTGTTCCTAGCGGCTTCCACTTTGCAATAAACAACTTACTGCTCTCACTGTTGAATATCTAGTATGGAAGAAATTTCACAAACTGGCTTATTGCAGAGGTGGCATTCTATGACCGCACCACGCTCAAATTCACTGAGCACTTCAGAATGACTCATTCTTTCACAAATGCTTGTATCCCTGACTGCATGACTGGGTGCTTGATTTTATACACCTGTGGCAATGGGTCTGAATGAAACACCTGAATTCAGTGATTAAGAGGTGTGTCCCAGTGCTTTTGCTCATGTAATGTTCATACAAATAACTGATAGCACGGTCAGTGTGGCTCTTTAACTGCATGAAAGAAAGTGCAGTTTCTTTAGTACTGTGAATAATAGGGCATTGCTAGGATCTTAAAACTTAACTCAGAGATCTAAACTTCCTGAGAGGAACCTTCCGCATCCTTGCACATTGAGCCCCACACCAGCCCTCAGGAAGAACAAGCCATGACTTTCTTTTTGTAGATGATGGTTTCAGGCCTTGGACCTTTGGCTCACGGGTCTCTCGCACTTCCGCTGCACCACGTTGCTGCACAAAGCCAAACTCGAGTGCTTGTTTTCCTCCGGAACATTTGAATCAAGCTGCTCAGTTTCACCAATAGTGCTTCTTCGCAGGGGAGCAGAGAGAATTGTTTTGGTTTTTGTTCACTGTTTTCAGTCAGTATTTGAGGGTTTGAGAGGGAGGACATGGCAAAGATGAGGAGGAGCTGCAGGCCCCCGTCAGGATTGGGCAACCTGTAATATAAGGATATTCTGGTTTATTTTTTAAAAATTCAACAAAGCCATTAATTGACTAAATCCAACGCTCATCTAGATGCTGCTTCTCCTAGAATCTCAAAGCTACTGAGAAACGGACTACATAATTTCACTGTACCTCAGTATCGTGACCAGACTGAGTACAGAACTCGGGTAGTTGGTTACCGGTCAAATCATAGTTGAACTCAGTGTGGCCTAAATTTAATTTAATAAGTTCCGCACGTTAGGGACTCGGCGAGGCTACAGCCGGGAATCATACAAGGCTCAGTCTGATTGGCCGGTTATGGAAGCACCATGCAGAACATGGGGGTAGGTGATCATTGGTAATCGTAGTGTGTTTCTGCATGTGACACTTTATTATCCTGAAGTCCCTTCATGTGACTGGAGCAGTCTGTTCCTTTCCTTTGCAGGAACGTGTCTCCTTGGATACCGTCACCCTACAAAAGCGATATAAATAGCCTTGTGTAAATGACATCTTGGTAACCATTGGTGGTGTCGCCATGGTACCCAGGACCAAAGTATAGTGATGTCTTGTCTTGTCTTCCCATCTCCTCAGGTTACTTCATCCATGACCTTTTAGACATGATCTTCAACCAGAAGATCAGCCAGTCCTGGGAGCTGGTTTTCCATCACCTGGTGGTAGGTTCCTGCAGCTGCTGCCTTGCTGGACTTGGTCGTGACTGATCCACGGTGGCAAATGCACTAGATAAAGAGAGAGTTGGCCCAAGGGGTTGCTGGGGTAGGACCCACTGAAGGTGTTTCTGAGGTGTCCCCGTCCCCATAGAGACTGTAGTGTTCTTCATCCACTCTGCCCTCCTCATCATGCTTTGAAACACCAAGGCCTGCTTGGATGCTTCAGGCTGTTCTTTGGGAAAATCCAGGCCACTGTTTGAGTTTTAGTGTTGGGTCTTCTGTAGAAAATTAGGTGACAATGTGAAAGCTGGAATTTCCTCTTTTTTTTAAGCCTTTTTCCATACTTACAGATATCCGTATATTTCTACATAAATCTCCTTTGGTGACAGACGAGGACATTCTTGGATTTTGCCTTATTGATGAATATTGTTTCTGCCTATGGAATTCAAATATTCATGCCTGCTTTAAGTGTAGATGAAGGGGGCTGCCAGGATGGATGGTTGGAGAAATAGATTTGGTGGCAAAACAGTCCTCTCCTTTGTGAGCTGGGTGGACCAGTTGGCATGTGGCATTGGAGATGTGAACTTCTCAGCAGAGTCTGCAGAGACAGAGAGAGTACGATGACAATTTTATTACATTTGTCTCTTAATTTTACCTTCTGAGCCTTGGCACCAAATGGATTAAATGGCGCAGAAGTGTAAATCGGCTTGTAGATTTATCAAAACGGAGTTTGCAGATGTCCCACTCTAACGAATAACCTGTGAGGACTGTGTGAGTGGAGAGTGAATCTCAAGAGGCTCCCTGGAACCATGAGGGAAGTTTAATAAGCATGAGTGCGTGTGCATGTGTTTTGTGAAATACATATATTACATAAAAGTCCATCTGTGCTGTGGATTATACTCTCTTAGTCCTGCACAGATATGAGCCCATCCTCCTGGGGAGGGGGGGGGCTGAGACATGGTGGTATGCGTTTGCCCCACCCCCAAGCACTTCTCCTTTGTGACTGAGGGGCCCATTTTCCTTTGCTGGCCCTCAGCCAGCAAACCCCGCTGCATGAACGGCTGTGTGGAATGAGCTTCCCACCTAATGTGGCTGTGGTGACCCAGCCAGGACCCGCAGGTCCGCATGCAACAGCCACCACTCATATGCTTCAGTTTCCTTGTAGGCTGCAGGGTTAGAGGGGAAAAAAGCATTTTCTGAGGGCTGTAGGGTTACACGCGACTCTCCTACAATGTGACGGCAGAGTAAGACTATTCCCTGCTGGCCGGGCCGAGGGGGGGGGGGGTCGGGTGAGGGTTGGGGGCCATTTACCTTCCACATGGCCGCCCTAGAGGCTCCGGCTGCCTCTAGCGTACGTCAGGACAACCAGGAGTGTGGCAGGTCTGGGACTGAAGCTGCATTACAGGAGCATTTAATGTCCAGTGCTTTACTTAAGGATGCTGTCATCGGACACTGAAGCTTTATATACCGCACTGGGGCAGGTCAGGTGAAGGGTCTCGCTCATCAGTCAGAGTTTGACGTTGACATAATGAGTATTAGTCATTTTTAGTGCCGCTGAATCACTGGGAAATGTTTTAAAGCTTGTTTTCTTATGAACTGTAAGGTTTTAAAATCTAGCTTGGGGCGAGGCTACATGAACCTGTTTGTCATATAATACCATGTGCTGCCCTAGTGCATTGTCATGTGACTGTGAAGCCAGACTGGATTGACCCAGTGGGGTCACCTGACTGTGCTCTCATTTACCGTATCCCTTGAACTATTTGCTTTGTCCCTTTTTTGTGTTTGTACCTGTCATGTATGCATGGACTTCGACCCGGCTCCCCTGTTATACACATACGTGTCCTTTGCCTTCCGGTTAGAAACGGCCTCTTCTTTGGACAGTGCCTCTGTTTTAGTGGGGGGGCCGGTAGGTGTATCAGTGCCCTGGATTCGTCGTCTCGCTCAGTTACTTATGCAGTAGGCATGAGCAGGCTTTCGGGGTTAGGCACTGAGCACTTTCCTCATCTAACTGGTTATGCAGCCTCTGCCCCCCCCCCCCTCCATCACTCATGCTTTGAGCAGAGAAGGCGGTGGAATGCACTCCTTTGCATACCTTTACCCCCAAGACGAGTTATCAAAAGCATCCTGAGGGAAAACAGGCTTGAGCTCTCAAGGTGCGGTGTTTGTCTTAAAGTCTCTCTCACTCTCTCTTTCTCTCTCTCTCTCTCTCACACACACACACACACACACACAGTTGTGTAATCATATCTTTTTGGGGACCGCTCATTGATTTCTATGGGAAAAACCCTAATCCCAATCACGACACCCTTAACCCCTACCCATCCCTAACCTTAACCATAAGTAACCAACCCAAATACAAGACTTTTGGCACTTTTTTGATTGCATTCACAGATTTTTGTATTTTTATAAAATTGAGGTTATCCAAATGGGGACCTGAAGAAGTGTCCCCAAAAGTAAGGAGGTTTCAGGTTTTATTGCACTTTGGGGACATTTTGGTCCCCAAATGTGATCTATGCAAACACACACACACACACACACACACACACATATACGTGCGCACGCTCACGCTCCATGCCATAAGGTCCTGCATGTGTATAGTGAGCAGGATGATCCTGCACTCTTGCTGTCATCCTGAGGCATCTGTCAAAGCCCCCATCGCACACTGCAGTGTGCCAACTTCTGTACAGCGCCCTCTTGTGGTCCTCCTTGTCCTTACTGCCAGTGTGATTTGACACATCACCCTCCTTGCTGTTGGGTCCTGCGCCTGGTCAGCGTGAACCGTGTGGTCACTGACCCACCAGCCGCTTCCGTGTTCCGTACTGGGGAATCGCATTCTCATCCACAGTCCTTCCTTTTTTTTTTTTTGATTACACTGATTAAAGACTAAATTAAAGTTTCCTTTGTCTTAAACGGTAATCAAGTCATTAAATGTTTTTAATGTGGCTATGGAGTACAGATTCATAACCTGGACATTGTGCAGGAGCTGTAGAAGAGTGGCTGACTTTGGAGAATACCGATTAGCAGAATGACAGGATTTGGACTTCACAGGCTTTTGTGAAAGACCCTGATTGGCTCCGTGCCAAACAAACCTGACTTCAAACATATTACGTCATGAAAATATAGTTAATGACCTGCGTGTTGGTCAAGGTGAACTGTCATGACGGGGCTGTGGATCAAACAGAGGTTTGTTTGAGTGTGTGCTGGATGTGGGGTTTTTCTTTCTGGATTGCAGGGATGACATGGCCTAGACTGATGTGCATGATTTCATGTTCATGTTTAGTATTCAACTCATTCACTTGTGTTGCCTTTTAAGGGACTGCCATTAAAATGTTTTACAGAAATGAAAGCCCGAGATTTAAGGGAAAATGCGTTTACTTTAAAATTAAAGTCTTTTCCCGCCCCCTCTGATAGATTTATATCTGCTGCCACCTAGTGGATATCTTTCATAAATGCAACTGTCCCACCAGATGTACGAAACCATACAGTGGGTTGGAATCCACTGCAGATCTTAGTTTTTTTTTTGTCTGAGCCATCCAGCAAGGACACTGATGATGATGATGATGATGATGATGATGATGATAACATTTCTAGTTCCAGCTTCCTGTTTAGTGACTTAGAAGTCCTGGTCAACCGCATGCCTTCAGTCGTGGGATTCTCCTGCACCTTGTTTAGTCTTGCGTCTGCAGGCCGCGCTCTTCCCTTAGATGGACATAAATGTACGCCCTATAAGCAGTTTGAGTTGATGGGGAGCCTGTCTGTCGGCAGTCCCGGTCGTTTATCCTGAATCCCGCTTCCCTTTGACACTGCTGTTTTTAGTGAGTAATGTAAAGAATGCACAGAAATGGAGGAGCTGATTCTGTTGATTTTTCCCCCGGCCTGTCGCTCTCTTCATCCAGGTCATCACCTGCTTCGGGATTTCTGCTCTCAGCTTCCGCTACGTGGGCTTTGCGGTGGTGGCCCTGCTGGTGGAGATCAACTCCATCTTCCTGCACCTGCGGCAGATGCTGCGCATGTCCGGCCTGGCCAAGAGCACCGTGTACCGGCTGAACAGCATGGTGAACCTGGGCACCTACGTGGTGTTCCGCATCAGCACGCTGGCCTGGATGACGCGATGGCTGGTGCTGAACCGCAGCCTCATCCCGCTGCTCATTTACACGGTGGGCAGTGTGGGAATGGCCATTATGACCGCGATGAACATCGTCCTCTTTTACCGACTGCTGCGCAGTGACTTCCTGATAAGCGGCCGTGAAACAAGGAGGGAGAAGGAGATGTAGGAGAAGAAGCCCCGCCCCCATCTCAGCCTCAGCCCCCACCTCCTCTCTCAAGTCCCAGGACGATTTGGCTCCACTCCTAGGATAATTCTGCTAGCATTAATACATTAATTAGTTTTTCACGGGCTTCTAAAAATGACGACATGAGCACATGTTCAAAATTTGCGCATTAGAACCATTCAGCACGATAATTGGAGGTGAATAATTTCCCATCTTCAAAAAGATGGAAATCAAAGTTATGTTCAAGTGATGCTAAATTCTTAGCATGCGGGTAAATGGGTATCTTCGGTCCTTGTATGCCTAAATGAAAATATATTTTCTATACGTTTCAAGGAGATTTGAAATTACGTGCATTAATAAAGGCCGTGGTCATCAGCATAGTAGTTTAAAGGTAACAATGAACTTTCCTAGAGTGTATTTTTAATACCAGCACTAAAAGAGATTGCAGTGAATCCTCTTAATTTAAATATTTGTGCTACCTCAGAGGCGTGTTGTACAAGTGTTTTTTGTTTTTAATTAGGCCTATTACTCGTGGTGTTTTTGTTTCTACCTGTAAAACTAAGCACAATGTTCACTGGTGTGTCTCCACCCGGTGGCATCGCCTACGGACCTCAGGGCAGCAAACGCCGCGGGTTGGATGGTTGGTCTGTCTGACAGGAATGACTGGCCCTCGGCCGGCAGCGGAGTCCCAGCCCCGGAAAGCTGTACGTGCGGATGCAGGCGCCGCGCACATCTGCTGTTTACGTTACCGGCTGCACAAAGGGCCACACATCCCAGTAACCACTAATGATTAGCCAGACAATGCACCGTTCAGCCGACCACTTACTTATTCGTACACAGCCAACTCCTTCCAGACCTGCTACGAAGATATAGTTATATCATGTTCGAATCCATTCACAGCTTTTCTTGCAAAAAAAGATCCTTAAGGACTTCCGTTGGCAGTAAAAATCAACTAGTTAGGACATTTAGTTGTGTGAGTGTTTGGCTGAGTGAAGCTACTCGTCTCGTGCTGCGACAGGACTCACGAGGATCCATAAACATTAGAAATTAAAGCGACCCGTAATTTTCCCTTAGTTGTAATTACCTTTTTGGTCACAGGGTGGTGCATTGGCATAGTGAAAAATGTCTCAGCAGTATTATCGTTTTGTGAAACAATAATTTAGACGGCTCTGGTCCCAACTCTTTATGTAGTCTATTTAAGCCCCTTTGCCATTTGTAAATGTTCTTTTCTATTTATCTGTGTAAATAATTTTTTTCTATTTTTATGTAATAGATGAACTAATTTGAAACGAGAATATACATTTGACACATTTTGTACTGAGTCTGATATAATTAACTATTTCGTCTTCATGCGTTTTCAAGTGACTTAAGATTTTGTGTTGAATATTGTTTAAATTGCGTATAAGATTCTAGTCTTTATCTCAATTTAGTTTTAATACTAAATAAATCACTAAATGTATAATGTATGTTTCTTTGTAATGTAAGAGTTTTTGTTTTTACATAAAATAATGACGAATGAAATGCTACCCGCTGCTCATTTAATGCTTCGTTCTGTTGTATTTACTAAATTATTTGAGGCCCCCCACTTTGGACGATTTTGCGAGACGGTTTCTTTAAATAATTTCAATCGATATTCTAGCTCAATATCCCAATGAAATTACATGAGAAGATTAAACAAATATGCCGTAAAATTACACAGACCGTCCTGCTTAGGCGTAGTCGGAGGGCATTGCTTCTCTACCAGAAGTTGCCACCGATAATAAATACACGGAAAATGTGGATTACGAATACAAATGTTTTAGCTGCTTATCCAATTTCGGTCGGTTTGTTTAATTTCCAAAACTGCAGTATTTATGTCACGCTGTCGTATTCTGTTTGCTGTACCAACAAATTTCCTCAGGGTTTCTTGGTGTGGCAATAAAGATGCTATTCTATTCTATTTACCATTAGTGACGTTTGATGTCGCTGCATCTTCTCTTAGAAATGAAGAGGGTGACCTCTAATTCCGAGTCGTCTTGTCTTTGTGTTAATTTTAGCACTAATCTGCTTTCCAAACGAAGCAAATGCCACAAAAATCACACGGCTGAATAATTACACCTGCATATACATGCGGCCAAATATTATATACCGATTTAAACGCTTGGTCGATAACGCAATACAACGTTTAATTTAATCACGCATAAGTTATTTAAAATTGCTCAATTTTAGAAGTGACAGCCATTCATTTATTGAGAGGCTTCGCCTCCTTGCGTATGAGGAATTGATCCAGCGAGGCGGCTGATGCAGGCGCGATCGAATAAGGAGGCGAAGCGCTTCTGCCAATCGGCTTCACCGCTGCGCCGCGATCATCTGGCGTGTTCCGGTCACGATGCCTTGTTTTCATCGGCCGACTATATCCTTCATTTGCTAGCGTAAAGGTGAATGATGCTGCTTGACGGATATGCCTGATTTCTCTCGCTAAGGGCGAGGGAGCATTTGTGTTTAACCAGATGGCGGCGTTTGGAGGTGATGTGTTAACGCACGACGCAGAAAGAAATGCGTGCCGACTTGGGAAATACGCTCCGTAACCTCCGCGAATCTTGTGCATCATGTCATATGTATACAGATATGCCTTAGATTTTAATGTATACCGATTTTGCAGCGATTTTCCACTTTTGTGCATTAATCTCTTCAACTGGCCGTTATATGTATTTTTCGTCTTAATACAGAGCTTCTATGCAATTGCTTGGAAGGTTGGGAATTTGAACGGAAGATTTGTAAAATTAATTGAAACGTTCTCGCGTTGGGATCGAAGGACTTTTCCCTAATATTTTGGAATTTTAGTGCCCATCCTCTGATTTTCAAGGTAAGTGCGAAGGGGAAAATAAATCTTACCTCTGCGAAATGTATTTTTAGTGCATGAATTTCTTATTCGGATGCGCGGGGTTGCCTTTGGACTGGGGTTCAGTCTGTGTTTTTATAATGACGTGTTCGTTGCGCATCTACGGTAAGTCCAGTTCAACCCGTTACCGCAGCTGCCGTGGCGCTTATTTACTTACGTAAAAGCTTCGCTGAAGGGAATAAAAGCCGCATTTATTCTGGTTTGGGCCCTTTGCCAGAGTTATGATTCTGTCTGATCTGCTAAGATTCAGATTCAGAATTAAGCAGCAGGTGTAAAGTTAGTTTTTATTTCAATGGTCGTATAAACGGGGTAACTGCAGTATAAACCGAACTGTTTGCCCGGCCCTGCAAAATATAACCGCACAGGATCAATAACCACAAGGCGCCCAAACCAAGTACGCTTTGCTGTGCTATTCACTGTATTATTATTATTATTATTATTATTAATATTATTAATAATAATAATATTAAAATGGCTACTTATATAGTATAGTCTTTTCTTGAAGAAGGTAACGGCGTGAAAGCGAAGCGTGCCACCCCACGCCAAACGCCCCACATGGCCGCCGGGCGCCCCTCGGGGGTGTCAGTATGGGCGCGCTGGCTGTGTGTTCAGGCTGTCGTAGTTCATTCCGGAGCCGTAAATGCTTGTTCACACCTCATGTTATCTGACTAAATTTAACCACCCCGTCGTTGCCCCAACCTGCTGGACCCCTTGGTATGAAAGTCCGGGGAGGGGGCACGTTTGTGTTGGTTTTTAATCTTGTTGGATTAAGGGGGGAGGGGGGGGGGTAGTTATACGACGTTTGTGTGCTTGTACGTCAGTTTTTTAAAAGCAAATTTTTAGTTGTTTTGTACCTCTACGATGCTGAAGAAGGGAGACTTTAATAAAATGTCTAAAATAATGGCACGTATAGAATACTCTTCAACATGATTCCTGAACGCAGGAAGCCCTCATTTCCAAATCTGATCATAAGGACAACCCCCCCATCCCCCCCTCATCAAAGGATTTCCCAGTGGAGTGGGGGGGAGTGGGTGGGGCCTCCGTGTCCTCCTTTGCGATGGACGTGTTGAATTGATTGGAGGAAACTGTCGTAACTGAGAGCTGCTGCTGTCTTCGGCTCCTCCGGACAGTACAGTGAAGCCATTACTGCTCTCCCTGTTTCCACTTTGCCAACATCTGCCGTTGGCTCAGGAATCCCTGAGATGCGTCGTCGCTCTTCATGCCGGGTCACGTAGCCGCCGGGTGGTTCTCCTGTTTTTTTTTCTTTGCTCAGGGACACGGAGGATCAGTGGCCAGCTGTGGCATCTGTGCCTTGCTCCAGGGGGGTGGAGTTTGCATGTTCTCCCCATGTTACGGGGGTTTCCTGTCCAGGATGTCACATGTTTGCTCATTATAAAAATTATAATCTCTAACTTAGCTGTACCGAATAGCGTGAATGCATCATGTGGTACCATGGTAATCCATCTGGATTGCATCCCTGTCTGTAATTCCTGAGAGGCTCCCATGTGGTCCTGTCCAGGATAAGTGCTCTGATAAAGGAGGGATGCCACAAGCAGGACCCCTGGACTGACCGTGTAACCCATGTCTAGCATAGAATATTATGGATACTCTGAATATTTGCAGAAATAACATTGGGCAAAGTGGCGCAGTTGCATGGCTGAGGCTCCACACTCGCTGACTCCTCACATTTTCCTTTCCTTTGATGCACAGACACGGACTGGGTGGGTGTGGCGGCGGGATCGCCATGGATACAGGCTCCCTGGTACGTCAGGTGGAGAGCGTGGAGCGCAGCGTGGCGTTCCTGCGGCGGGAGCAGCTCCTCCTGCTGCATGGCCTGCACTTAGAGATCCTGTCCTTGCAGAAGCGCTGCACAGGTGAGTGTGTCACATGATCTGTCATGTGACGCCAGCATGACCCCCCCACCCCCCCCCTCACATTTGTGATGATCAGTTCTCCTAAAGGGGGCTGTCAAGTGTTTATGCTGACAGCGATGCCACAGAGACCCTTAGAACATGCATGTTAGTGGAATACACACATGTAAACAGACACGGAAATCCCTAGGACAGGGGCTTGGATGGACTGAGGCAAAGCGTGTTGCAGAGCGATGCGCCACCAGGTGGAATTAAAAACCACAGACTGCGCAGAGGACTGGAGACCCCATTACATGCTAATGGACCTTCCGTGGTGCAGCATAAAACCCGACACCCAGCGCATCGCAGGCAAGGGACGGTGCCTCTTCCTCCACAAAGGAGGATTCTCCCTGTCTGCCTCTCTCTTTTCTTCGCTCCCCTTCCATGAGGTCACTGCTCCTCTCTCCAGCAGCTCGAAGCTGTCATTGGGAAAGAGGTGCAACACGTAGCGGTCTCGCGGCGTGCGTATCTGTGAAGACAGAGTGTGAAAGCACCTCGCGGGTCACGCCGATACGGGGGAAGCAGGAGGATGTTAGACACGGTGTGCAGTGAACGCATTTCAGTGCATCCGGACGGAACTGTCTGGTAGCGTTTGTCTAATTCAGCATCAGATGTCCGTCATTAAACGATATTGAAGTCTCTGCATGTTGTTCCTCAGCGGAAGGACCGCTGACTGTGAAGTGCGGGGAGTTTACTGCCATTAGTGAGTGCGAGAGCGGCCTGCCCCACTGCGGCACAGCTGGACTCCGATAAGAGACGATGCCACGTACTTGTCCCCAGGTCCCGCTGACCTTGTTCGCAAATGAAACGGCGTCACCCAGGGGTGTGATATTCTGAAAGATCAAATTATAAAAATAAGCTGAGTTTGGAAAATGCAATGCGCTAATTGATGAAGATGTAGCGATAACGAGTTTTTTTTATGAACGGATGCCACACTCAGTCTGCCTTTGATCAGTAAGCAGGCAGTTCCTCCTTTTATTGAGTCTTCTGAGAATGAAGCTGGTGAAGTGGGATGATGATGATTATTATTATTATTATTACACGTTTACAAAATCATTAAAATTTTGATGACAGGATTCCTGCAAAATGCACCCTGGGTCAATAGCTTCCTGGTAGTTAAGGAATCCTGTTCTCTCCCTTGGGAAATTCAGTAAGCACCGTCTTGCCCATCTGCCGCTGCCTTCTCTGTGTGGCTGTGCTGAGCTGGCTGGGATGGAGAGAGTGAATCATTACCCCCCCCCCCTTGGGCTTGTAGTGAAAAAAATTATCTACACCCTACAGTAGCCAAAACATCTGTAGAACATCCACTAAAACAGCTCGCAAAATAAATCCGGGATGCTTCTGTTCTGCTTGTTCCTCTATATGTTTAGATGTTTGCCTGTGGATGGTATTGATCCCCTTGGGCTTTAAACCTCGACCTTTAGTGACGGCAGAAACTGACAGTGTTGGTGTAGGTGAGTGAAAACAAATAACTGCCAGAAGATAACAATAGCCTAGTGCGCTAATTCTGTAAAAGTAAAATAGCCATAAGAAAAAAACAGTAAAAGATTGACAGTAAAACATAACTTGCAATGGTGCAGAAAGTGTTACACAATAATATTAAAGAGTTGGCATAGATGGATGATGACATATTCAGGCACATGGCGTGACACCTTAACATCGAGGTCTGATGAGGTCCTGCTCGCCATCTTGGCTGTTACCCTGCAGCAGA